CTTACATAAATCCCTGTTTTTTCCTACATGCAGTTGTTTTTCAGCATGAACTTATGTTCTTAGAATGTTCTTGAGTTTATGCTTTTTGTTGTATTTTTTCTTCCCTTTTGTTATTTAATCAGAAAAGCTTTTAATTACTTCTCACCTCCAAAACATATCTTCAGTGCACTCTGAAGAATTATACAAGATTTCAGTGGAGGCTCAGGTTTAATGTTAGGAAGAATTTCTTCCTGGAAGGAGTGGTCAGTCATTGGAACAGGCTGTGCACGGAGGTATTTGAGGAAGGGGTAGATGTGGTACTTGGGGACACGGTAAATAAGCAATATTGGTGGTAGGTGGACAGTTGTACTAGGTGATCTTAAAGGTCTTTTCCAACCTTAATGATTCTATGATTTGTGTAGATGGTGAATATCAAACAGATGTGCTGCCATGAGGAAAAAATGAAAAAATATATTGAGTTGAACCTTTTTTTTTTCTTTTTCATGTTGTAATTAATATATTTAGATGCTAAAATATAAGAGCCTCCTACAGATTTATGCACACAATTATTTATTTATTTATTTATTTTACTTTGCTCCACTTCTCAGAGCAGTGTCCCTGGTTTAAAGTATCCTGCCTGGAATTCTTGCAGACTCTGGATTTTTCACTGTGCATCACAGCGTGGAGGTAGCAGCTCTAACTGGCAACATACTGAAGGACTGTTAAGACGTAGTCTAGTGAATTTGGAAGAATGTGCTGGTAGAAGATGTTTGATGTGATTTAACAGATAGAAATCATGCTGTGCTCCTTGGATACTTTTTTAGCTGTGAGGCAAGGATTGAACAAAGGAGCATCTACGATTGAGTGGGTTGATCTTTCATATCCTATTGCTTTGTGGTATTGTGTTTAAATATCATAATATAGCATTTTTTACTGTTTTGAAGTGGTTTTTTTTTTTTTTTTTTTTTATCTTAATGTTATGGAATATAAACTATGAATGCTATGGACTAAAATAGTATCAGTACCAAAGTGGTATTAGGAGGATGGTAGAGCAGTCTTCTGTTCTCCTTTGAAATTTGTGGCAGTTTGATTTGGAGAAGGAAGAAATTTCTAGCTGCATTTCTGGCTCTATGCATGGCAATTGTTTTACCTTAGAAAAAGAGAAAGGAATCAATCAAATAGAAATGTGTTTCTTCTAGTTTTGATTGCTGTAGAGAGAAAGGAATGTAACGTCAGGCAGCTTTTATGGATAAGTTTAGTGCTCAGGAGTTAAAACAGGTACCCTACCTATTTTCTATTTTCTTCATTTTTTGTAAAAATTGTAATTTTCCTCTTCTCTTTCTTTAAGCATTTTCACCTTTTTCCTCTCCACTCCATTTTATCCTGATTTCTGTTGGCTTCTGTTTTTTTCCCTGCTCATTCTGTCTCATTCACCTTTGTCAAGCAAACAATCCTGTTCAGAGATAGCCAGGGGGATTTTTTAATATTATTGAGGAAAAACAATTTTTTTTCTCTCTATCTGCTCTACATTATTTGTGATACAAGTAGCACTAGAAACATCTAACTTTGACTTTGTAATTTGGTGAACATTTTCGTGTCTTTTTGGGGGTGCAGTTTTTCTTCCATTCTCTAGTTAATTTCCCATTCTTACGTGTGATGCATTTTGATATTTTAGTTAAGTGAGTTCATCTTCCTAAAATTTATGTATTTGGAAATTGTAAGAATCAGCCTTTTAACATTGGTTCTTCAGATAAACTGTGCTGTACAGCATAAAAACTGCTCCATAAGTATTATATGATGCCTTTGACTTTTATGTGCAGGGTAATCACAGCTTGGTGAGCATTTATTCCCTCTAGCACTGATTTTAGAGCATGTTTATTTTAATAAAAATATATAGGAATTTGTATTAAGAATGTCATTATAAACTGTTAAAATCTCTAAGAATGTCATTATAAACTGTTAAAATCTCTAATCGTGCAAAATGTTGAGCTATCTTTGCTAAATGGCTGTTCAATCATGAAAATACTTGAAAAGGTTATCATTGGCTCTAGAATAAGAATGTTTCAGTGTTATTTATACAGATTTTTATCACTCTCAGATTTCTCAGTCTCCTTCGTGGTAGTGCTGTGATATTTAAAGGAACCTTTGGAATTAAAGACTATTACAGAAAATATATACAGAAAATATTATAGAAAATCAATACATGCTTGTTGTCTAACTTCAGTGTACCAAAATATAAGTTTTCTTGTTAGCTTTGTAAGGGTGAAGCTCATAGTGTACATGTATGTCTATGTCTGTTTGTCCAAGGGGATGAGTCTGTAGAGTGAACATTTGTTTGCTCTGTTTCCTACAGAGACTGTTGTACTGAAAGAGTGCTGAGAGGTACATAACATTTTTTCAGAACAACAAATACAGCAACTGAAATTTAAATGAAAAATCAATAGAGTATCAATTGTTACTTTCCATTTCTGTGCTGCTGCTCTTGCCAGCTCTTTTTGCTATTGCTTCTCTTTTTGCTATATGCTTCTCTAGCTGTTTCTTACATGTGGGTATGAATTATAGTTTATATTTATTTCACTGTGGCAAAAATGTAATTGAAACACATTGGGGTCAATTCAAATTACGTATGAAGCTGTGAATTATTTTTCCAGCCTACTAGGTAATGGTATTTCATTAAATACTATCATAATTTTTCTTCTGTTAAGTGTGTGTTTCAGCACAGAAAAAGAAACATCCCTTTTTCCCCTGTATTTATTTCCGTGTTAAGATTTTTTTTTTTTTGGTCTTTATTTCACTTTTTAGATCTGTTGCGTTTAGAAAATACTCATCAGTGTTTTACATGTGCACAGAATGGTAATGCAGCTCTTGGTCTTCTATGAAGTGATGCATACCTCTGGAAATGCACTGGAGTATTTATTTTACGTAAAATGCCTTCCTTGTAATTAAGAAATGAAGGCTAGATTTGTTAAATATTATCAGATCGTTACCATGCTAAAGATGAGCTTCTGAGGTCAATGAAATGTGTAAGCCTCAGTGCTCTGAGGCTTCCCTGTCAAATGATCTTTGACCCAAGCCATTCTATGATTCTGGGGGGGGGAAAAAAAAAAAAAAAAAAAAAAAAAAATTGGACTAATTTTGTTATTATTACTTATTTGTAATGCTTAAAAAAAAAAAAAAAAAAGTGGGTCAAATTAATATTTGTCAATTTTCCAAGTCACAGGGTGTGATTTTACTGTTAGTCATATGGCATAGAGCAACAATGCCATAGGAGCAGTTGGAGCACTTCCATAGAACTTGATGTTTTATTTGCAGAACTGTGTCGTGGCTTTCCCTCACATACCCTGGTGTTGCACTGTTATGTGTTGTTCTGCCTGTGGGAAGGTGAGCCGATGCACTTCTCAGTTTGATTCTGGTTTGAATTTGCTGGCATTGAACTGCTTCATCTCTGTTCTGGATTAGGCTAAAAGAGCTTAGTAAGAAGCAACTGGGCTTACATGAGACAGGACTTCTTACAGTCAAATGAGGGCTATTCATTGTGGGCTTTGTCTTTTGTCTCTTGCTCTTCTATATCAACCTGGGCATCACTAGGGTTCAAATTTTCTATCTTCTCTTGGGACATGTAACACTGCACTAAGGTAAAAGGTGTGAAAAACCCTCTGGGCAGAATACGGTTTGCAAGCTGTGAGATGAGACCCAGATGGGGAAGGCAAGGCTGTGACCTGTGCTGCATGCAAAATTAACCAAGAAGGCTCTGCTTTAAACATTCACTTTTTGTTGTAGAATTATTTATTCTGATTTGGCAATCACAGATATTTTTCTTACTTTGTTATAGTTTAAATTGTATGGTAATTGATATGAATTCTGACTGCTTTTTGGTTTATATCCAAAGACTTCAGAGAAGTGTGTGCATGAAACTGGAAGCAGAAGGGTGCACAGCTGTCCTTGAAGTGCCATGAACACCAGCAGTCATGAGCAGTCGAGCTCACTTGCCTTGTGATTAAAAATATGTATATATGAAAATAAATGTTCATTACTGGTATCTGATACATCAAAGAAAATAAAATGATTGAAATATTCTTTGACAGATCAATCTGATTAATTTTGGGTTGTACATGGATGAATTTTTGGTTAACTGAAATAAAAGACAGATTTAAAATACTAGAAGGAACCCTGGGTAGAACATCCCAGAAAGGATATTATCTTTTTTCAGAAGAGAATGTCTGCAGTAAACCCCTGTATGAATTAGTTTTCAAGTAGCTATGTTCTAATACAAACCTTATTTTGTCCTTCAAAAGTACAGAACACAGTAGAGAGTTCTGAGTATCAAGAATAAAAAACACAACTAAATTACTGTCATTCAGTAAACATTACATCCATAATAGAAAATTCTTGTGATTATACACCATGTTAAAGTAGTATGTGCAACACTTGAAATTTACTAAGTAGAAGAATTTGATCTCTGTTTTTCTATTCTTCCATACTTGTGTTATTTTAAAAAATACTTATTTCAGTTGCCTGTGATCAAGTGCAGTATTAAGAAATACCTCCCACTTATTTAGATTGGAAAAAGGCTCCTATATGCAAAATGAAGTCCAAAGTGTTAAAGCACCTTTGTGTTTTTTTTTTTTTTTTTAAACTGATATTGGAATAAAACTGCCCGGGACGCTGCGGTGGGGGGGGGGCCCCCCGAAATGGCCAAATAACATTTATTTTTTTTTTCTTTAATTCTTAGTAGCTGAGCTCTTTTGAGAATCTTTACCACCAAACATGGATGCTGAAGGTTTAGAAAACCTGGTCTCTGTTTTTAAGGTCTGGTTCATTGGGTTTTTTTTAAATTATTGTTATTATTATTTATTCATTTTTCTGATTTTAATGAAGTCCTATAGCAGATATCATATGGAGATGGGGAGTTACACAGTTCTCAAAAGCATTTTCTTGTCATACTGGAAGAAATGCTTCAGTTTAGGCATTTTATCAAGTATTCCAAACATACACTTTTTTTTTTTTCCTTTCTTTTCCAGCGTCTTGTTGAGGCTGCAGAAGATGCTTACCTGAAACATGAGTTTGATGCTGATTTGCAGGTAATTAGTATTTGCTTTTTCAGTATTTATCATGAGTATGCTGTAAAAGTTTATGCCGTACCTCATGTGAACTGAATTGCTGTAGAAAGACAAGTATGCGAGTAATAGAAGGATGCTGATTATAGAAAATGGAGCTAATGAAAGCTGGCTCAGTATTTTGATAGATTACAGATTCAGGGTGTGTGTTGGGAAACCTAGCAGATAGGTTTTACTCTGAGAGATTTCCTTTCCATTCTTTGTGTGCCTGCCTAGGTCAAGTTATTTAAACCCAGTAATTAGCAGCATGTTTCATCCTTGTAGCATACTGGCAAGGAACTGTTCAATAGGGAGCTGAAGTTGCAGATGAGGTGGGATCCTCTGGGATGGGATTAACATGACCTTGATTTATGCAATTGGTTTGTGGTTTGGATCTGTGTCTAAAACAGGCAACTTTCTTTTTCCTACCTGGAAGCCTTCAGAGCCAGACCGCTGCCTCCAAATATTGCCTTTAGGATTAATATGGCAGGGAGAAGTGGTGGCAGCTCACAGTTGAAATTGTTAGAAAGAAAAGCTTTTGCTTAAATAAAACAGTTAAAATGAGATTATCTTAAAAAAAAAAAACAAAAAAAAAACAAACAAACAAAAAAAAAAAACCAAAAAAAAAAACCAGCACAATCTTACCTAACAATGTGAAGTTTAATAGACAACGTTTCTCAAGAGTAAGTATATACTCAAGTAATGGTTTTCCTACCTTCCATGAATTCCTACATCCTCGGTGTCCTGAATATCATGTTGGGTGGAGTTTTGTTTACTTTGACATTAACTATCTCAATTCGATTTTAAAACTTCCTGCAAGTATTAGTCATGTGTCTATTGAAATCCTGAGCTTAAGCATCAAGAGAAGCAGATTTTTTTTTTTTGTAGGCTTTCCCATATATTTAGATAATTAATACACAAAGTCTGTAAGTTCTGTTTTCAGAATTTACCATGGTTACATATAATAATCACAAAACATTTTAATGAAAATATGATACAAGTAACGGTTTTCTGTGCTGCAGAGAGGAAAAAAAAAAAAGTTAACTCTTAAAAGCTAGGGATAAAAAATCGAGTGTAGCAGTCTGTGATGCTGGGACCTGTCATTGCATGTTGGAGTAAGGAGAAAATGAGGGCAATGAAAGTGATTATTCATATTATTGTTGCGTTTAATGAATGCTGACTTCTGTACGCCAATGCTTTAGAGATGTATTACATTCAACCCTGTTAGAAGTGTGCTGTTTTTTGAACTTTGTCTTGAAGAAATAGAAGCTATTGTCTGGGTAAATGAGAAACACACTTTATAGAAGACTTTTTTTTTTTTTTAGAGATCTCCAGTAAGTACTTCTTCACTACAAGATAGTTCTCACTTTGACAAAGTCCTTCATTTGCTGAGGCTCTGAAGGTATTAACGCTTTGAGGAAGCCAGCTAAAAGCCATTTGTGTCAGCAGCATTAATGGGACAATCAAATCTTTGTGTAGAGCTCTGTTGTTTATTACTGTCATGGTCCATTAAAGCTAATCAATTGCTAATCTTGGTTTCAGCGACCCCTTTGCAACCTTTGTTGAGTGATTGTTGTTCTTTATCAAGAATCTCATAATGCCATCTGCTCAATATAAAACAATGGCCGGAATACTTCACTAGCCTACCTTCAAGTGGATGTGGATAGAGGGCTTAAGTAGTACACATTCTGTGTAATTCCACTATCAAAGAGGGACTTCTTAGTTTGTATTTAGTTTGTATTGCCTCAGCCAATGTGAAAAACAGGATTAAGTGTTTTGAATTAGTGATATATGATGCAGCTTCAGTGATGCAGTTGGTTCTGTGTGCTCAGATATTCTGAAAATTCAGGAAGCACATAAAGGAAATGCTTTTGTGCCTTTTATTGGTCCAGCATCACCTCCTATGTCTTGAAGACAGTATAGTTAATATTGTGTCAGTACATAAAAAAGAGATGAGAAATAAAATTATATTAATATTTTTATTGACTCTGAAAAAAATGCTAAAGAAAATAACAACTGGAAGAGTTCATCTTTTAGATTGCTTGTATTGTATTCAGCAAAGCTGAATACTTAGTCCCTTGTAGGTATTATTCTTAGGAAGATCATTGGTTTTGTCCTTAATTATTCTATAGGTATTCTGATTAATATGCTGTATAATTGTCCAAGCTTAGAGCTATTTGTTCCTTTCCTGAATCTATTGACACAACAGCAACAAAACAAAAACAACCCTGTAGTTAAAAACAAACAAAAACCAACTCCCAATGAATTGAACAATACAAATCAAAGTAGGTGATATGACTCTAACTCATCAACATTGTATATTTAATGTTTGAAAAATGACTGAACTAGATTAGTAAGAGCTGGCTAAAAGGAACAACCTGCAGTGTTTCACATTCAGATTTTTTTTTCCCTTTTAGGGAATCAAACTAAGATCTGTACTGGTTGCAAGTTATGAGGAAATGATGCTTGAATTGTCACTTCTTTCAGCCTTTAACACATACCAGAGTTTTTCTCACTGTTGGCTATAGTATCAAGCCATTTTGTATCATTAAAGACTGTGCAAATGGCAACTAAGTGGAATAAATACGTCTTTTTGTGTTAAATCATGTATTTGCTGATGTAAAAATATGTTACCATCTGTATTACTATAGCAAGTTGCCTGGTCACAAAATTTCTACAGCTTTTAAGAATTGCTCATCTTGCTTATACAGGGACACTGTCTCTGGCCTTGCCTCTGTGTAAAGTGCAGTAAAGTATGCATCATTCATCCTGATTCTTTAACATGATGAGGAAAGAAATACAGGATCTGACTGCCAAGCACTGGAGTATTGGATGCTTCAAGTTTTGAAGTGATTGGTTTTGTTGATGTATTCTATGTCAGAGAAATATTTTGGGGACCAAAACAGAGCATAATGTAGTTTTTTTGACTGAATTGATCTATTAGAAATAAATTTCTAATAATTTATCATCACTGTTAAGAAAAATTTTGCTTCCTTTACTTGTTCTGGACTTGATTGTGCGCTACTGAAGATATCAGCATTCTTGTTGGGATTCAGTGGAACAGCATTGTGAAGTTGATTGCCAGACCCAAGGAGAAGGTTTTGAAGTGCAACACTTTTCCCTGGAGCTGTCATATACAAAGGAATTTGCTCTATTTGCAGCTGACAAACACATTTTGCATACTGGTGTGTAAAAATACACTAATGTGATGCCAAGCTGATGCAGTTAGGCAGTTACTGATGAGGTGCTAAAGCACATTTAAATTGGAGTTCTGTGGTTTGTGATGGCACCTACATCCTCTACAGTATTCTCCTATTTATATGTTAATATCTGAGTTATTTCTCAGGGTATTACAGAGTGTTTCTGTTTCAACAGAATGAGGGTAAGATCTGTTATGGTCCTGTATTATTTCAGTGTTTCACAAACCTCGAGAATGCTCAGCAAGAGAGCTGATACTGGACTGCTCAAAGGAGCCCTAAATTTAACTTTTACTTTGTTTCTTATGAACTTGAAAAAATATTCTAATTTTTTTGCTCAGGAAAATGCTTACAATACACGATTCCTCGTCAGTTTTTATACTTCTGATATCAATTACAAGAGGAAATTATAAAATGTTTCATTATTACTACTGGTTTATTTTCTAGATGGTTTCATTACACATACTTGCAGGGCTATTCTTTTATTTTCCATGTTCATTGTATCAGTTGCATTCCAGTTGAGTTTTCCCTCTGTATGATGTGACAATATAAATGCAAGCTTACTACTTTTTAGTAAAATCAAGTCTATTCCATAACTGACATTACCTGAAGTACTAGACATTTTTCAGATTGTTGTAATTTTACTTTCTAGATAGTGTAGGATAGTTTTGTGCTAATGCATTAAGATGTTTGACATTCTAATTTTATGTCACAGGGCTAGAAGATGGTTAAGCAATTAGATTTTTTTAAAATAAAAGGTTACTTTTTAGAATACACTTAAAGTTAATTTAGTGGAATAAAAAGAGGAATAATGGCATAAAGCTGATTTTAATTATTTCTTTCTTGAATCTGTAATGTATGACAGAGTCCTAAGGACTCAGGTTTTCAGCCCTACACACACCAGTTACGTCCTTCCCTGCATGACTTTGAAGGACCAGTTAGGTCCTTCTCTGTGTGATTTTTGCCTGCTGTTAGCTCCTAATTGCACTGTAGAATCCTTAGGAAGGGACCATTAACAGTCATCTAGTCCAACTCCCCTGCAATGAACAGGGACATTCACAGCTAGGTGAGATGCTCAGAGCCCTGTCCAGCATGGCCTTGAAAGTTTCCGGGCATGTGGAATCCACCACCATTCTGGACAGCCTGTTCCAATGTCTCATTATGCTAACTGCAAAAGACTTTTCTTACAAAGAAGGTAGATTTAGGCTGTATATGTCTTTAGCCATCTCCCCTCGTCCTGTCATGCAGTCCCTGCTAAAGAGTCTGACCTCTTCTTTCTTAACAGCCTCTTTTTAGATACTCAAAGGCTGCTACCAGGTCATCTTGGAGCGTTATCTTCTTCAGGCCCAGCTCCCAGCCTGTACTTGTAGGAGAGGTGTTCCATTGTTTCTGTGGTCCTCTAGACACACTTCAATAGGTCCATGTCTTTCTTGTGAGGCCTTACCTCGAGTACTGTGTTCAGTTTCGGGCACCTCAGTACAGAAAGGACATGAAGGTGCTGGAGCAGGTCCAAGGAAGGGCAACAAGGCTTGTGGAAGGCTTGGAGAATATGAGGAGCGCCTGAAGGATCCGGGGCTGTTTAGTTTGGGGAAAAGGAGGCTGTGGGGAGACCTTATTGCTCTCTTCCAAAATCTGAAAGGTGTTTACAGTGAGATCAGGATTGGTCTCTTCTCACTGGTGGCAGGATGATGGGAAATGGCCTCAAGTTGCAACAGGGTAAGTTTAGGTTGGATATCAGGAGAAGCTTCTTTACTGAAAGGTCTTCTGTATTGGTCTGAAGATAGGGGA